ATTAGAAAAATGTGATCTAAGCACACGATATTTAAAAAAATTAAAAAAGATGCATCCAATGATGTATAACACTATTATTAATCTATAAAAAAAAGAAGAAAAAATACATAAATTGGTTTTTCAAATTTTGTTTTGGCTCTCCTGCAAAAATTCATTTGGGAATGCGTCCCTTTTGCATTTAATGAACGAAATGCTTAATTTTTCGTAATCGCCACGCTTACTTAGCACGGCGAACGTGCGGTGAACGAGAGCGAATGAATGATGTGAGTGAATCAAGTACGTGATGGCGTCGCGCTGGGCCGGGACTCTTCCCCCACCGCACCGCACCGCCACGCACTGCTCGCAAATTACGATTACACCCGCCGCCCGCGATTAGTGCAATTGTTTTGATTTGTGTTGTGTTGCGTCCGAGATTAAAATTCTGGATACAGCGTCAGCAAATATGCTGATCACTTCAATGACTTTGGATGGCTTACAATGGCAGCATATAAGCGGATACTCCGCTTTCAGAAAGCAATTTTAAAAGAGAACTGAATTTCATAGATGGGGTTGAAGTTTCGGGTAAGATTTTCATATCAGAATTAGTCCCCTTAGAAATAAAAATTGACGTGTTCTTTGAAATGTTCGATTACACGTCCGTTTCTGACTTACAGGGGGGGTTAAATTTTCGTTGGAACGCCCTGTATGTTCTTTCACGGATGGTATCAAATGCTGAAGTGTCATCCCAACTGTACATTAATTTAGAAATTTGAATAACAAATAATTCGAAAAAAAAAAACGGATAAAAATAACTAGTAAGTCAAATGGGTTTATCGATATTGATTGCCATGGTTTTATGAAATGTGCCGCTTCACTGCATTTTTCTATTAGAATTCATTACCACCTACCGAAATTCATTACCGCATACGAGTCATCATACTGATTAACAGTTGTTCATGTTACAACCATTCCGCATGTGCTACGATAAGCAGGTATGTTCAGAATGTGGTGGTGTTGAATAAAACATGAACTTGTCATTTCCTAATATATTTCCCGTTTTCTCGTTCAATTATTATTGGTACCGCAAGAATGAGTTTATTATACAATTTAACTGATTATTTTTCATGCCATCAAGGAGAGTACCTATTTTCAAAATTGGGATTTTTAGTAAGTTTTCGACCACCTGCAGAATAACCGAAAGTTTCATTTTTATACTGATCTGTTCAAAAAATAAGTTGAATTTCAATTTTTCTCAAAAACTATTCATTTATTCAGAAATTTTTATTTTGTCCCCTTCAAAGTAGCCTCTCTCAGATATACAGTGTGTAAAAGACAAATGGAGTAAACTCATTATTTCGGTTACGGTACATTATTTAAAAAAATCCCGAAACACGTCAAATTTAAATTATAATTTGATATACTTCAACGGAAAAGTGCTACCCCTACCTTCAACCTCTGTTGAATGACAGGTATAACCCCCAATTTTTCAAATGGGAGGTATAGGCTTGCGATATATCGTTTGAAAAATATCTCCATTCTCTATTCAGAAATGTTATATATAAAAAAGTTTATTGCATTAATTAAGATAAAATAAATTAAAATCATGTGGTTACCGAAATTCGAAAAAATATACTCAAACTTATTGCAATATACTCAAAACGTATTTCATGTTGACTTCAACATGATGACAAAAAAATAAGCAAAAACCATAGCTATGTTTTTTTTAGATGGTACCCTTCAAAAACTGTAAATAATTTCCCTGGCAACGTTAGTTTAAAACGCTATGTCAACTTGTTTTCTATGTTAAAACAGTAGTTGTCAGTATTTTAATTTAAGTTTAAAGTACGTTAACTTCAAGTCTGGCAAATGGTTAGATTAACGGAAATGCATAAAATAACAGAAGTAAATTAAAATATTCTTGAACATTCAAGCGGCGTTGGAAGCTCTTGGCTCGTACCAAGCAACGTCTAAATTGGTAGCAAATTGCCAAAAACGACTCTCCCCGATAGGAAGACTCAACTGATTGTCTATGGTCTGGATTCGTGGCCATACTGGTTCGGAAGGCAATGAGGCTGACTCCCTTGAAGAAGAGGGTACTGCAAGCAACTTCATCGAACCAGAACCTGTCATTGGCATCGCTTCAGGCTTTGCCAAACAAAGATTGAACGCCTGGATGGCAGGAAGATTCATGGACTTCTGGGAGAATCTTTCAGGATTCAGGCGTTCATTCACCCTTCAAACTTTGAAACCAAACAGTTGTTGGACTACAGTAGGGATGTACTTCGATGTCTAACAGGCCTTCTTACAGATCACTGTTACCTGAAACATCATATGCAGAGACTTGGACTGTCGGAAGACAGTGTGTGTCGCCTCTGTTTGGAAAATGATGAAACACCAGAGCACATACTTTGTGCTCTGCTGTCACCAATCACCATTCAACCTAATATGCTTCTTTCAAGAAGCTGAGTATATTTGGTAGAGTATGAAAAGGTGTGAGTCACAATAAACCCTTACGAGTTGTGGTGGAGGGTGGAATAGACCCACTCACTTTGGACCTAACGTAACCTAACCCTATTATAAGTCCCTATACCAGGAATTGATGTAATGACGCTCGTGTAATGATTCGTCTTAATGCATATAAAAACATTAACATAACTTGAAATGAACTGTTTTCGTCATCTCCTGATAATGCTAATTTGGTTGGCGAAACGCGCATCGAGCAACAGCATTTTTGTTCTGCTGGGGTTCCAATGGATTTTGTGTCATTCTAAGATAAGTAATGGGTTTCAAGAACTACAGTTTGATAGCTACTAGAATAATCTGTACCCTCACCTCTAGCATATGTTCGAACAGTTTTTTCCCCAGGCCTGTGCGCTGGCGGGACTCATGTATATAGAAATCCAATACGCAAGGAGGTGACACTTGATAATGCTGTCCATCCCTGTCGAACACGTAGAGACCTTTAGATCCCGTCTTCAGCATTCCCGTAACGGCCCCTTTTCCGCTGAAAGAATTACAGTTACATTTCTAGTTCACTTTCGATTTGCTTTTTTGTTTCTTACTTGTTCGCATTCTGATCGATGAGGAAATAGAGTTTGTGCTCTGAATTTCTGAGTCGCTCTGCGGTCGTTATCGCTTTTGTTAGTCCTTGGGCGGCTGCTGAAGCTTCCCCCATGGCGTTCACAACTTCTGTTACTTTGTTGACGGTGTCCCTGAAAAAAAAAATAGTTGCCATGTTATAAGGTCAAGATAAAGCAGTGAATTGAAAATATAGGAGATTTTTTTAAGCACTTCCTATCTTTATTTTGCAGACTTTTCAACCTGTCTTACAAGAAAGGGGTTTTTCCTTCTTGTTGGAAGATTGCTCGCGTTTAGCGTATTCCCAAAAAGGACAAGAAAAATCTTACAAATAACTATAAACCAGTCGCTTTGCTATCAGTAATATCAAAAATCATGGAGAAAGTCGTAAACTACCAAATATTTGGAAGGCTTCAACATCTTGAGCGATCATCAATATGGCTTTGGGAAACAAAGATCAACAGGCGACCTTCTATCAGACAACACAAAAAATAAACAGCTATGAAAAAGAAGAAGACAAAAACCAAAACGGGATATACAGTATATAATGCTCGGACTGCAACAAATTCTATATCGGCCAAACCAAGAAAAAACTGATCCAAAGGTACGATGAACACAAAAAGGCATACATTTTTTGAACGATTCGTCCAAATTCCTTAGTTTAGAAGACAAAGGTTATCTTTATTGAATACTTAAAGGTAGAGATATGCTATCGCGGACTATTATTCAGAACTATTTAAGATAAACAATCTCACGGTACATTATCTGCATGTAACTCCAACGGTATAGGCATCGCACGCCAAAATAGCTCTCAGGGAGCAAGAATTTTTCCGACTTAATACTTATTGTTACATCATGCCCAAAACTACACAAAAGCTTTGTAAATTGTAGCCTATATGTTATTCTGATGTATAAGCTGTATTTATGTGAAGTTTCATCTAAATCCGTTCGTTTAGGCTTGAAAGAACCACAAACAAACATACATACGTATATATTTTAACCCATCCGCACAAATTTTCACATTCATTGTATTAGTATAGATAGATGATGTAGGAATAGAGTTGTTTAAGGGGGGGACAGTAATGTCGAGTTTCCATACAAATGAAACATCTGAGTTTCTCGACTAGAGATTAGTCAATAGCCTGACTTGATAAGGAAAAAAAAAACAGAAAAATCTTGACATGACTATAAAAAAAGGAAAATTGTTCACATTATAATCGATAACAGGGAATCAGTCGAAAAGATTTTTCCTCCTAAGATCTCTGACACCAATAAAAGCGGATTTCCACCAAACAGACTCGCTGGCGACTAGTATCGTTTTCAAAAACAGACACAAAAAACTTGTTTCAGTTCCGAAAACTGAGTCGCGTGTTGTGAGGTATAGGTATAGTTCGAGTGAATGATATAGTGCAACCTATCTTCCAACAGCATCCAAATTTGGGATCGATGTATTTTCAAACCATTTCTCGAAAATTTTAGCTTCCTTGTTCTTATGATAGACACACGCTTATGATTTCCACAAATTTCAAAGAATTCGGAACCCATCCTTCACTTCCTCCGCAATGCACAATGATCAGCGGCGATCCATTGTTTGCAGGCATGTTAGGCGTACACATTTTTGAACTATCAGTCCCCTTTTCGTAACTGTGTCGTGAGTGTCATACCAAGTTTCGTCCAAATAGAAAACTTGCCGTTGTTCTTGTTTATATTTAGTTATTTGTTCTACAATTCCACTATTCTTCTGCTTTCCATAACTGCTTGACGTTTGTTTATTATTTTAAATCTGAATCCTAGTTTCGTTATGTAATTCTGCAGAGTTTTGTCATAGCAGTTCAAGTTTTGACCAGAAGTATTCAATTTCTTCCTTAGGGTTTCAGTTGTAGGAATCTCATTGCTTTTGTAACAGTCGTAAATTGTTTTTTTCAATGATTTTATTAGATGTTTCGGTAATCCTGTATCACATCGCGTCTTGCGTTCATAAGGTTTGTTTTTGACTATTTTACGTACAGCTGAGAAAGGAATTTCGGTCAAATCTAATGTTACTTGTAATACCTAGTTTATTTCCCTCGAAACCAAACTTGAGATGTAGATTCTTATATACATACTCTCTGTGTTTTAGTATTCAAATGCATCGGAATCTTATTCACTGGTCCCTTGTTCGCATTGTTCAAATCGCTATTGGAATGGAAAAGTCTGCGTTGTTATTACACTCGTTATTACTATTAGTACTTGTCCTAGGACGCCCGATTTTGAACAGAAAACAAAAATTTTAAGTAATTCTAACTGCACCAATATCAAATTTCAACACTCAAATCGCAATCAGTTCCTGAACTGAACACGACGGCGATAACCATCCCCGCATTCCCCGATTGCTATTTGTTACCGTAACATGACTTCAAATTCAATTTCATGACTCTTCAGCCAATCATAAAACTCAGATAGTAAAAATTATCCAATAAGAACCGCCAATGCTACAGTCCACGTGGACTAGTTCACAGCCGGTTTATTTCTATGTATTGATTTTTTTTGGCCTTTGAGAGTGTGCACAATACCATTTACTTCGACTATACAGGATGAGATCATTGTTAAGAAGACGAATATATAATGGAAGGGATAAAATTATGGCAGATTTGAATAAAAGATGACATAGGAATGAATGGAGAAATGATATCAGAAATTCAAACCCATCACAGATCAACACTTTAAATTAAAGAAATAATGTCACATGAAGTCACATACCAAAACAAAATGGTGAAGTGAACAGTTGCTTGTTGTTGTCGCCAACGTCTCCACATAGCGAACTCTGTTTACAAAAGCACTGTCAAAACACCGAAACCTTTTGATATCTCCGCCTGTCGACGGGACATGTCACTATTGACAAAAAAAAACGCCGGCGACACAAAGTTTTCAATTTGTTTCTCATTTTGACAACTCTAGTTTTTGTTTTGCAGAAATCGACACAGTTGCTGTTTTTCCCGTTTGATGGAAATCCGCCTTAATAACTTCTTTTTTGAAATACTCATCATCAGGCACTCGTACCTTCCCATAGATTCGTGAGCACTTAGTATTATCTTAATATCCAAAAAACCCGGCACAACCTTGACCTTAATTGCTATTGAACTTCCCAATGGATTGATAAAACTTGATAAAAATAGAATGCGATTGATTAGCCCATGCAGATACGGATTATTTCGACACTGGTACGGCTAACCCTTTTTCGACAAAACGCTTTGCCGGATGTTTCGATTAAGGTGATTCATACACGCATCTGTGTTACATCACCAGGAAAATTTAGAATTAATGAGACTTTTTTCAAGTGTATTCAAGGCGGGTACTTTTATTGTGTATTAAAACAACCTCAAATAATGTCAGAAACAATGTGTACATCGGAAATTATATTCATTAATGTTGGGAATGCTAAATAGATTGCAATCATGTTTATATTACCTACATTTCCGCAGTGGCCTTAAACATTTTGAGACTTCTGGTAAAAAGTCTTTAGGAGGCCCTTGTCAATTGCGTAAAGTATGTGAATTGAAAATGAGTATTTATGATCAGTGATAGTAGATGAAATAGTTACTACAGTTTTCCCTCCACTGAAGCGAATGAAAAAATATGCTTTTCCTGTTAACGGAAATATTGAAGTAAAAATTTTGTATGAGAGGGTGAACCGATTCGTTTCCTAACGCGTTACGGTGCCAATCTGTCTGGCTTCCCTTTCTCTCACGCATACGTCAGCGTGAGGCATGCTCCTCCCTTTCGTTGGACAAACGCTCAGTGTTTAGTGTGCGATAGACATATACTGCTGACAGTATTATAAGAATCTAACCAGCAAGCACGTAATATTCTTTTGCGATGTGAAACGTGGCTTAAAACTGGCTCAATTTCGTGTTTGTATATTATTGATATCATTATTTAATCCTACAAAAGTAACAATCGGCTCATGGTAGCTATGATCGAAGGTACCGTAAATTTACTTAACTATTGTTCAATAATGGTGAATTATTCAGTTTATTTTGATCGCTCATGAGATATTGAGAGTTTTTGAATTTGTGTATTTCCATACTCCCCAACAGGTTAAGTTTCAAACTCTTCTTCAGGAAATGGAGGGGCTTGAATTCATGGTTTTACTCATGCCCCTCTGTGATTAATTGAGTGGCATATGTGGAATTGACTTTTCCATTCTGGAATCTATTTTTGTGTTCCTATATAATGACCTATATAATGTGAGTCATGGCCGATGTTTTATATAGGTCAAACTGGAAGAACGTTCAAACCCCGCATGAAGAAACACAAAAATGGTTATTAGAATGGAAAAATAAATTCCATATATGCCACTCATTTAATCACAGAGGGACACGAGTTCCACCATGAATACAAACAAGCCCCTTCATTTCCGGAAAAAAGGTTTGAAACTTTACCTGTTGGAGAGTATGGAAATCAACAAATTCAAAAAATCTCAATATCTTATGAACGATCAAACTGAATTGAATAGTTTGTCATTATTGAATCTGTTCATTTCCAGGTAACAATAGTTAAGTGTATTTACGGTACGTTCGCAAAATGTATTCATATAGTTGAAGAATTCATACCTGACCTTTCTAGGTAAATTCATTCATTAGAAAATAGGCATACGAGAGTAGGTGATATGTTAGAGTATAAAATGGTAACTTTCAGTTTGCGCTTGAGGAAACCATTGTATAGAGAAACATTTGTCGCGGTTTTTGTAAAACACTTTAAAGTGAAAATCATACAATAAACTGTATCAATCAGTTTTAAACAATTTTAATATTGAATAGTTCAACTTAGATTAGTTTAAGTTATCACTTCTATCGGGCGTCCCGAGAAGCACAGGTTTTTTTCTTGTTCTTAATATATTGGTATTCGGGTGGAAATGTGTTCACAAATGGCGGGAGTTTCAAAATCAATGATATATGGGGTGTAACATGAGCATGGAAAAATTTTTTTGAATAAGAAAATCATAATTTTCTATCAATTTTCATGTAACATTTATAGGACACTGAGTAGGCTGTCTTTATTTATTTCAATTGCTCTAACCTTTTTGACAGTAAACTTTTGGTACTTTTCACGAAAAAACATAATTCCCACAGCTTTTGCAAGTAAAAAAGGTATA